GCAGCAGCAGCAGCAGCAGCGCACCAGCGCACCAGCACACCAGCACACCAGCACACCAGCACACCAGCACACCAGCACACCAGCACCAGCACACCAGCACCAGCACACCAGCACCAGCACCAGCACCACTACCACCACTACCACCATTACCACCACTACCACCGCCGCCGCCGCCACCGCCACCGCCACCGCGACCACGACCACGACCAGGACCGCCACCGCCACCGCCACCGCTTTACGACTACCGCAAAGTGGTGGCTTGTTTTGTTCAGACTTTACCCTTCTATACCCTAAGCCCTAAACCCTTTGGTCGTTTGCGCTGCTTGCGGCTTTGTCGGGTTGTTTCTGGGTTTCAGGCCGACAGCTGCATTGATCATGGTTGCTTGCATCAGATACACCAAAAGGGTCCAAGTACCCAAATAGTGGCGTATTAGCTCCCAGGTCCCATTCATTTTGTAGTGTAGTGTAGTGTCTGGGACCTAAACCCCATGATTTTGGTACTTACTGCGCGGAACCTAAACATGTAAACGCGCATTTGGCAGGTGCCATGCTGTTGTTTTGCGCATGCGCCCCGACCACCCAGTGACAATTGCCTATCGTAAGTTGTGTAGTGACTGCAGCTTTGATCGCAAGTTGTCATCAAAGGTTACAAGAAGGTAGTGCATCTGTTCATTTCATCTTTTTAAATGGGTGTCCAATCATTAGGGCCCCTTTAGGGGGGGTCCCTGTAATCAGGATGACAGTATAGCAGGGTCTATATTGGAGCACTTTTGTCCAGAAACCCCTTAATTACTATGGCAGGTGCAAAAAACCAAGCAGTTGTTCACTGCAGCAGTAAAAAGTGACTCTTTGTCACGTGCGGATGGCCTCTGCCAAGAAGACATCATGGCCATGATGGCTCCGGCAGCAGCTGGAACTCTCTCAAATCTTATCGAAAAGCTCAGGAGCCAGGACTGGAAGTTGCGTAAAAGCGCTCTGGAGGCCTTGAGCCAGTTGGGCCCTGCAGCTGCGGAAGCTATGCCGCAAGTGCTTAGAGCGATGCAGGACCAACACTGGCAGGTGCGCTTGCGTGCTGTGGAGGCCGTGTGCCGCGGAGGATTTCCAGCAGCGGAAGCTGTGACGCAGCTGATCAACGCACTTGAGGACCAGAACGGTTTGGTGCGCAAAGCCTCCACAGTAGCGTTGGGTGAGATGGGCCTTGTGGCAGTTGCAGCTCTGCCACAGTTGATTCGAACACTCCAAGACGAAGACTGGCAGGTGCGCAAAGGTGCCACAGAGGCCTTGGGCGAGATGGTCCCTGCAGCGGTGGAAGCTGTGCCGCAGCTGACGAAAGCGCTCGAGGACGGACACCCTGCTGTGCGCAAAGGTGCGGCCGAGGCATTGGGCAAGATAGCTCCTGCAGTGGCTGAGGTGCCTCAGTTGTTCCACATACTTCAGGTGCAGCACGAATCTTCGGAAGTGCGCTTGAGTGCCGCAGAGGCTCTGCGCGTCATGGGTCATGAAGTTGAAGCTGTGGACCAGGAAGACTGGTACATGCGCAAAGACACTGCGAAGGCTTTTCCTGGGGTGGAGATGGAACCTGCCTTGGTCAACAAATGGGCTCATCTAATCTCACCTCTCGAGGCCAGGGATGCAAGAGTGCTTGCAGCTTTGGCAAAGGTCTATTGTGCTTTGGATCCTGGAGCAGCTGGGTCTTTGCTGCAGCTGATTTGCGCGCTCCTGGACGGACAGATCAATGCCTGTAGGACCTCGCACAAGGTGGCATATGAGGACCGACGATGGCAGCTGCGATTGCGTGCCATAGAAGCCTTCAGTAGGATGAGTCCCGCGGCAGCTGAAGCTGTGCCACATTTGACCAAAGCTCTGGAGGACCAAAACTTGATCTTTCACGCGGTTGCAGCAAAAGCCTTGTGCCCCTTTTATCCGGCAGCAGCTGAAGCTGTTCCACAGCTGATCAAAGCGCTCGAAGACCAGCGCTCGCGTGTGATTACGGAAGCTGCCAAGTCCTTGAGTAAGACAAAGCCTACAGCTCTGTCCTTGCAATATCTTGGTCCCGCACTTGCAGGGGCAGATCCGCGAGAGCACGCCCACGGTGTTCTGTTGCAGCTTGTACTTTCAACCAAATCCTGCAACGAGCATCTAACAAACCCCATTATAGCCATGGCCGTGCAGAATGCGATCTGGTACAGTAACAACGAAGATGTGGTGAGGTCAGCAGTGTACGCGCTGCCTGCGATCTTGGAGGCTGCTGATCTGGACGATTTCAAGCTGCGCGGCCTTCTGCAGCGAGCTCTTCGCATGGTGCCAGATGCTGTTGTGCAGTGTAACTGGGTAGGCCCCTGGGATATTTCATATTTTCCCTAATGGTTTTATTGGGGGACCATATATACTAATATTTTTCAAGGGTTCTAGGGGCCAACCTAGGTAAACTTCATGAACAACTTGGCATAAACGGCTCTGCCAACCCAGCTGAGTGTGAAATGAGCGCAGCGGTCATCAGCGAATACTTCACAGGCTTTGGGCTCCTCAGCAAGAGTGACTAGGACACCCAGCGGTAGTTTTTGCGCAATTTTTAGGTTCTGGGTTCCTTTATAAAGCAAACCAATAGGAAAAAAGGCACCCTTTTTGTAAGATGGCAGTTGGGCTACCAAGGTGATAATAGTGACCTGGGCACCAGCCCATGGCTCGTGCATCAGCCAGGCTGCACGCTCGTGAAGCCCTCTGGCTCGTGCACAGTTTCCCCTGACTGTAACTCAGATAGTGATTGGGAGTGTGATTGGGTGCCTTTGGCATCGCGGGAAAGCCCGAACCTAGAGATTGCTGCATCTGAAGCTGCTTGTGAATGGTCGTGGGAGCTCCTCTAACTAACTTTAGCGATAGTTGCATGCTCTCAGCACTCATTCAGTGAGTGAGTGAGCTTTGAGCACAGTAGCTGGCCTTGGCAAGCCCATGTTTGAAAAGGTTCACTTTTGTTAGGTTTTGTTACAGGTGCCATTTCCTGTGACGACCCAACATGATTCAGTCGGGTCGCTATGCACAGGAGGCGCACGGAATGTCTAGAACCGTTTGCCCAGCGCAACCTGTGTCTTCCAGACCTTGGCGGCTGTACAGTGTGTAGGTGTTGCGTTTGAAAGGGTAGTTGGTAGACGCGTTCAGAACATGAGCCGTAGTCTAAACTCCTAGTATCCCCCTTAATGACCTTTATAGTAGTCCCCTATATAATCTCCCAGATTTCCCCCTTTAAGGAGTTTAGACTATCGTCCACATGATGCGGATGCGGTTTACTTTCCCAGCGCTGCTGTATGGGTTTCCCCGCTCCTATGGGTGACAAGGTATTGTGGGTTTAGGGTTTAGGGTTTAGGCTTAGGGTTTAGGGTTTAGTGATGTACGGGTTTGCACAATGACCAATTTGTTCACTGTCCAATATTTTATGTGTGCCTACGGTATAGGGTGCTTGTCAAAATAAGATTGGAACTAGTCCGGCCCGTATACTGGCATGAGAATTCAAATAGCCTGGGGATGTGGACAGTCTCCTAGACCCTAAACCCTAAACGTATTATTTAGGGGCACCAAAATCATGAAACCTACCCATCTGGACAACCTCCTGTTTGGTAAAAGGGACCCCAACTCCTAAACCCGAAGCCCTAAACCCGAAGCCCTAAACCCTAAACGCTAAACCCCAACTCCCTCATCCAAGGCGTCTAGACCTTGTCCCTGCGCCTCAATATTTACAGCTGTCTCATGGTGGCCTTACAGGGTGGTGCTCCTTGTAATCTTATGCTTCTAAATCCCAGACCTAGAATTGATAGGACTTGCAAGTATGCTGACATGTAATCCCTTCATAAGTTATGGCTTCGTGGCCCCACATTGTACAATACACATTATGGTTTCATAATGTTCTAAACCTTGCGCTGAGGTTTAAGTATGTACCAGGACCCTTCTAGGGCCTTGAATTAGAGGTATATCGTCCAAAATAGTGAGTATATAGAGGGTAGAGGAAGGGTTTAAGTAAGTAATGACCCTTGGCTCTAGAGTTTATGAATCGTACCTACTTCTGTCTATTTGGATTCTGAGTGCTTTAAGTAACAAATGATCCTGTTCCATGTGGTCCCGGCAACAAGCAACTGGAGGCCTTAAGGTTTTCGGTTTGGGGTTTTATGGTTAAAGGTCTGGAGCTATAAAGTTTAGAGTTCAGGGTTTAGTTCCTAGAGCTTAGGTTCATGAGGCTTAGAGTTCAGAGTTTGGGGCGTTGGGCGTAGGGTTTTAGAGTCTTGAGGTTACTCAGGGTTTAAGGTCTCCAGGTTAGAATTTGAGCTAGCCTATGGTTTCGGTATTAGAGTTCAGGGGCTTAAGGATTCCATCATTTTGGAGTCATTGTAGGTGTTTTTTTATTGTAATGGTTTGTGCCGATGGTTTTTTGTTTCCTTAAGAAAGCTGGTGAAGGTGCACAGGAAGGGGTCCATTTCAGGAGACCGTGTGCAACAATCCTACTGCATTCTGTACCCTAAACCCCAGACCCTACACCCTATCTGTATTGCTCAAGAGACTCAAGAGCCAACCTTCACATCTAGGACTATAACCCAAACCCTGAAACCCTAACCCCCAAGCCCAAGATCATTGTGAAAACTGCCCTAAAACTCGAAAGGCCTGCATTCTACATAGTTTGGGGGGTCGATATACTTGTTGCACTCTCTATCGTTTTGTGATGGCCTTCAGATTTTGTTGCCCTAAATGAAGCCAAAACCTGGAGATCGAGCTTGAAGAAATCCCCCCGAACAGATGTTGCCAGGGTTCCCGTAAGGATTTCGCATGCCTAAATGTTTACTTAAATGTCCAGGACTTGCGGCGAAAGCTTGCAGCACGATATGGAGAGTTTCCCTAAATTTGGGGGGTGCCTTTGGGGGATTTCCTTTGGTAAGGATTATGGTATATTAGGGTCCCTTGATTTGTGGACATTGCCTTATTTTGGAGGGATTTCCAGGATGAGACCATGCGATCCCCTGCTTCAAAGCAAGCAACTGTCGCAGCACCCCAGTATAGACCCCTCAAACCCACACCTGCTTTTGACCGCCTGAAGCCCTCAATTCTAAAACACCGTTAACCTTAAACCGTAACCTCTAGAAGAGAACGTCGCAAACAAGAAAGACAAACAAAACTCAAATTGGGACCGTATTATAGTCATATACACTCCCGGAAACTAACATGGAAACCCAAAAGGGTGCGTATAAGGATTACAGTCCCTTTAAAAAGGGGGTTATTTGCGTTTCCATGCCAGTTTGGGAGAGTGTAATAGTCATAGGGTCCTAGTTCTGGGGGTTGGCTACCAAAATTTTCCTCTTAAATGAAAAGAACAAAAGAAAGTCAAGGCGGGACCTCCGAAACCGCCGCCTGCGCCCATGGACGACTTGCCGTCCGGACCCGTACCTACAGAAGACAAGGCCTCACATGAGCTATATTATAATAGGGGTATATAGGGGTTACCTAGGGATGATGGAAAAGAAGATGGAAACTACTAAGGTATATTAGGGCTTAGGGTGTAGGGTCTAAACTCATTCAAGGGGGTTATATAGGGGATTGTATAGGGGATTACCTCAGGGGTTACTAAGGGGGATACTAGGAGTTTAGATTATAGCTCACATGCTCTTCCGACCTGTTAGGGTTTGGGGACTAGCGCAAGGTTTTTTTAGGGTCCTGGGATGGGTTACCTAACCAGCTTCCTTTTTGTTGATCCCCCCGCACAGCAAGCTCTCCCTTAATCAGGCTTGCTTAGGGCAAATTGAGATTAATCCGGCTGGAGCAGAGGGGTGGGGTAGTGTAGAGGGGGTGGTTCGGAGAACCCATACTGTCACTGTGGCTTTGAATTTGGGAGCTTACCGTTCAGGGGCTTCCAAATACCGATCCCAATACCAAGAACTATTCTTTTCGAAGCAACAAGAATCACAACAATGCATTGCTTTGCATCCGCAAATAAAACTAGAATTGCCATTAAGGTCGAAGTCTCAAAGCCGTAAACCTAGACCCATAAGGCTCAAACCCGAATCTCCAAACCTTGCTGTTAATCCCTAAGCCCAAACCCCCAAAACCTCAACTCCCTAAACTCAAAGCCCCATAACCCCTTGGCGATAAACCCTAATTAAACTCGAACCTTTAGGCCGGACCTCAACTCCTAAACCCTAAACCCTAAACTCGACCCTCTAGGTTGGAAGCGTAAGGAAGCTATGGGATGGCCCGCCACCCCTTCGAAACTTGCTGTCGGGGGGTTATATAATGCCTATGTACGGTGTGTATTAATATGGGGTATGTAGAATAACATTCTAGGGTATAGGGTACAGTAAGTACAGTCCTGTTAAATGTACTTATAACCCTGTTTTCAGCCGCCGATGCCCTAATATGAGCCCTAATCTAAACTAGTTTCCCCTTGAAAACCCCTATAGAACCCCTGTTAAGGAGTTTAGAGAATAGCGCATTTTGTTTGGTTGCTAAACACAGGTTAGAATTAGGTTTTTATTACCCTGAACCTCCAGTTACCATTTAAGCTGAAACTCTCTAACTCCCTAATTTAAGCCCTAACTCCACCTTCCCTCATGCCAGGCACTGAGACTTACCTCTACTAAACTTGAAAAGTGCCCTCAGCTTAAGACCTTCCCTAGACCCTAAGCCCTACACCCTAAACCTACGAGGCCATAGACCCCATTACCTTGAACCCCTAGATACCCTACATCCTCACCCCTGAACCCTAAACGCTGAACCCCTAGACACCCTAAACCCTAACCCTACTTGGAGGGTCATGGGGACTTAGTAAGTAGGTCAATAATGGGGATAATTGGGGTTATTACATCGTTTATAGGGGTTATTAACCTACTTACTAAGTCCCCATGACCCAACCCTAAGCCCCTAAACCCCTAAACCCCTAAACCGTAAAGCCCTAACCCCTAAACCCTGAACCCTAAACCTCTCTCTGGAGTTCTTACCATAGCATGCGTCCCTGTCAGGGCATTACCTTGGATGGTCCCGTACCACCGCCTATGCCCCCACCACCGCCCCAGGCCGTGCAGTGGGGTTTAAGGTTTAGGGTTTAAGGTTCAAGGTTTAGGGTTTAGGGTTTAGGTGAATGTAGGCTATAGAAATTAGGGTTGCTGGCCTCATGAAACCATGTAAGTTCCGCAGTTGGGGCCTATTTGGGGTTTCCCAAGGTAGTCCATAGATTGGGTACCGCTCCCATTCAAAGTTGGATAGAAACTATAATGTTAGATATATATATATATATATCCTCTAATATGGCCTCAATTACGGACTGCTATTGGGTGGGGGCAGGAGCCCAGG